TCTGAGCACAGCTGATTACCTGGTTGCTGGGGCTGTGAGGTCTCTGGACTCTCCAGCAAACTGATGGATATTATCTCTTACCCGCTATTTAACTCTTTCATGAGGAATTGTTTTTTTTTCTGTTTTGAATTTCTGGTTGAGTACATGTGTTTTTAGTAATGACAGACATGCTATGATTAAGGGAAAAAATTGGTTTTGAAGTAATAAAGATTAATAAGGATTTTTATGGGATGTCTGGGTCCCAAGGGGATTCGGAGGTAGAATTAGTGTGATGAGGCCCATTTCTCACATTGATGCAATTATACAGGTTCCCACCAGGAGGCAGAAGGTGCTACACCTGGGACAGCTCTTCCCAACAACCCTGAGGGCTGGAAACCGAGGTGGGAGATATGTGCCCCATCAGTCATGAGAGGCTTAAGCACATCCGGTATTTCAAAGAGTGGCCCTCTTCCTGTCTGACTTACAAGTCCCCAGTTGTCCCTAAAATAAAAGGGATATGTATTATTTCTCGTCTATGTTTTTAAATAAAGTTAAATTTTTATTGGGATTTAAATGAAAGTTTGCAATTTGCTTCCCATTCAACAATTCACACATATTTTCTTTACGGTGTTGCTCGCAATCCCTCAAGGTACCAGCCACTACCCGCTCTCTCCTTCGTTTCTCTCTTCCATCCACCCTTCTCTCCTGTCTCCTCCTGATCTGAGTTTTATTCCCAACCTCGAGTCTGTTATATCATCAGAGATCATAACAGGAAAGGAACAGGTTTCAGGATTCCTAAAATGCAGACCCCCTTCCCAAATGCTCTCTCTGCCAGACAATCTGCACGAACGTTCATGCATCTAAAATGGTCTTCCACTTCCCAACTTCCCTAGACTTCAGGTCAGGATCCCAAGGGTAGAAAGCCTGGTAGTGGCAATGGCTAAGAGGTTGTCAGTTTGAATCCGCCTGGTGACTCCACAGGAAAATCCCCCGGTGATCTGCTCTTGTAAATACCTAACAACAGCAACAGTCCCTCAACTCACGGCAGCCCCTCACTGGGGTTCAGAGATTGTAGATCTTTGCAGGGGAACTGCTTCCTCTTTCTCTCTCAGAGAAAACAGCTGGTGGATTCAAACTGCTGAACTTTTGGTTTGCAGCTCAACACATAAACCCATTGCGCCACTAGAAAACCCCCACCCCACCCCCAAGATGGCTCTGTTCCGACACGGGGTGTCCCTCAGAGTCAGAGTCCACGCAGGACCCAGCTGCAGCGTCCCGAGGATGGTGGCCGTGGGGGCACAGGTAACCAGGCAGGCAGTCATTAACAGAAAGCCTGGAGGTTCACGTTAACCCTGGGCACCTTGTAAGAAAGGCCTGGTGAACTGTCCCTGGGTGGCCACGGCCATGCTTGAAGCCGTACGGGGCTCAGTTCTACTATGCGGCACGCGGCGTTGCCAAGACTTGGGACAGACTTGACGGCAACGGGGTTTTGTTGTGGTGGTTTGAATCTCCAGAGCCCCATTTCTGGGTGCCGCCTCCTCTGTCCTCCCGGTGTCTTTGGGAACAACGGTCAGTGGGTCAGCCACATCCTCCTGTGGCTGTAATCTTCAGCAAAATGTCTTTTAAATATATCTTAGTGATCGGTTGGTTTTTAAATTATAGCCTTTGAATAAGAACCGGCCAAACACATGATTAGCAAACTCATATGGCAGGAAGCAAAATAAAATAGGTTCTGGTAAAGGTGAAGCTCTTCCAAAAATTGTACTTTTAGTAAAAAGAAAACCGGAAATCCAAGCAGGGGTTCACGGCCTCCTTCCTGGGCAGCGGCGGATGTGAAGCGGGAGGGAGAGGCCTGGTCAAGAGCGTCTCGTGGTGGCCGTGGATGAGTTCCGTGGCTCTGACTCATCTCCTGTCCGCTGGTTTCCCTCCACGAGGTGGGGAACCTCATCCAGTCAGTCAGAGGCCTTCAGAGGCTTCCTAGAAGAGACACGGTCCTGCCGGATGCTCTGTCTTACCGGCGCGTGAGTATTGGATGTGCTGATTCACGCACAGTTATTTCAGTGAATTCCTCTCAAAATCAATCAGTGCATCTCAGGCATGCTCACTGCCCATTTGTCAGGGAGGCTTGTGCATTCCTGTGATGAACAGATTTCAGCAGTGTTCGAACTAAGAGACTAGGAGTAAAGGCCTGGCTACGCGCCCCCAAGAAATCAGCCAATGAAAACCCTTGGGACCACAGCGGTCCGGATCCACTGTGTCTAGTTCACCACGAGCTGGAGATCATCTCAGCAGCAGCCATCAACACACACAGGTGGGAGGAACATTTCCCATGTCAACAGTCTTCACCTGCACTCTCCCGTGACTCACTTGTGTTCGTTAGGCTGTTCAAACACCATCCTTCACTTTTAAAAAGGATTCGGAAAGGTTTCTCTCTCCTTGTGTGCAGCAAAGGAAATCAAAGACGCGTGCGAAAAATGAGCCCCTACCACTGACCAAAGTTGTTGCCGTGCAGGCAGAATGGACTCTAAGCTGACCCTCCCGTGAGTTCTCAGAGACTCATGGGAGAAGAATGCCCAGCTTTCTTTCCTAGTGCAGCAGGTGGATTTGAACCACCCGCCTTTGGGCTGGCAGCACAACTCCTTACCACTCTGCCACCAGACTGTAATAACAGTCTCTGCAGACTCAACTTTCAGGACCCTGACACCAGAGGAACTAGACAGTGCTCAGCGGCCACTGACCACATTGTGAACTGGACCACACGGAGGGTCCTGGATAGAACAGGAGACATGGGCAGGAAGGAGGGAACAAGATTCAACAGCACAACGACGTCTGGGCTCACTCACCCGACGGAGACTGGAGGAAGCCGGGACCACGGCCCTGAGCCATCCTGGCACCTCGAATGACCTCATTCCCCTGGCACAACCTGCCTCCAGTCAGGCCTACAGAGTAAACAGTAACACTCTGTCATCAGCTACACAGGCTCACCAGGGCGACACGTGCCCAGGGAGCGGGGAAGCGCAGAAGGCAGGAAGGCTGGGGAAGAGGATGAGTGGAATGAGAATCCCAGGGAGGAAGCGGGAAGGCTGAGGTTACAATGAGGGCATCGTGCCTAACATCATAAAATACATGTCAATGGCTGAAAGGAATACACATCCAGGGAGCCCTGTGGGCTTCATGGTAAGGAACTGTGTGTCCCACCCAAAGATACGTGGTTCGAATCCACCAGCTGCTTCACGGGAGAAAGACGGGCAATCTCCTCCCATGTGATTTACTGCCTCTGAAAACCCGCTGGAGAGTCAGCTGTGAGTTAATGGTACTCAACAACAATGTATAAACTTTCATTCAAATAAAATAGCTATTGAAACAATCAGCATAGAGAGGGGTCAGGCGGCTTAGTGGGCAGAAAGTGATGCTACCAAGCCAAAGGTGGGTGACTCTAATCCGCGGCCCTCAGGCCTGTCTTTGTTTTTGGCGAAACATTCTTCTAGGTGGTATAGCCCTGGTCTGTCCATTTGCTGTACAGAGGTAACTCATGGTTGCTGTGAGGCTGAACGCTGTGACACTGATGCGTCAAATGTGATAATGGTTACCCCGGTGGACAGTGTTTGGTGGAGCTCCCCGATTAAAACAAGCTTGGAAGCAGGAGCGGCATCCACTTCCATAAACAGCTTGCCTCTGGAAACCCTATGAACCTGGAGCAAGGATGAAAGTCACACAAGGGTCCAGGTCTTTCGTTCATAGGGTCGCTATGAGTCACCTACGACTCAATGGCACTTAACAACTGAAGCCGGAGGGGGTCTGGCTCACCGGTGCCGCCGCCGCTGCCGTGCACCCAGGCAGTGCGTCCAGGTGTACATTCCTGTACCTGGCGGTGCCGGGCGCGGTGGTTCCTCATCAAGGCGAGTACCATCAGGGGAGCTGCTTCTCAGGTTAGGTTCTAAATCACCCACCGATCAGCCGGGTCAGGGCAAGGACAGGGCACAGCGTTCAGCCGCCACTTCCTCCTCTTCTCCATATGACCCCACATGCTCTGCCTGACCCGTGTCACCAACAGCCCAAGCCCACAGGATCGGGATCGAGTTGACGCTCCAGAGCTGGAAGACTGCAGGGACAGCACTTAATGACGTTTATTTTGAAAATATGGCAAGAGTCTAAGGCACTTCAAACATTTAAATACATACAGGCCCAGGTACCCATGGCCAGGCAGCAAGAAATCCGTGCACACCAGGCTGAGCCAAGCATCCCCCCAGGCAGAGGCCAGTGGGGCCCCATACACGGCTCAACCTCTGTCATTCAGTACAGCTGGGGGCGTGCATTTATTCATAAAAATACATGTCATTCAAGTCTTTAGTTACTATGGAATACAAAAGTGGAAAATACTGTGTCAACTTTATATTTTTGAAATAAAAAGTCCTATCCACCCAGAAAACCAACTGCCCACACCTCCTTTGGGGAGATGTTATATATAATAGATATTTGTTATTTTTTAGAGTTCCAGCTTCTATTTTAAACCAGAAATTCTCCAGCGGGAGCTGTCGTGAAGGCCCAGTGGCCTCTCAACTCTCCTCCTCCGGCATGGAAGGTGGACACTCACTTGGAGTGGGTACTGAAGGTGTTTTCCCAGAACCCTGAATTAGGCAGGTTTACCTCGGGGCGGGCAATGGGAGCTCCCAGTGGGAATGGGGGCCCAGCCCTTGTCAGGGTGCAGGGGTTCGGAAAGAAGGTAGACGAGATGACCCCTCAGGCCAGCAGACAAGTCCCCACATAACAGAACACAGACCCAACACAGAGACTCAGTTCAAGGGTGTCCCCGCAGACGGAGGCTGCAAGAAGGGGACAGTGAGGGTCCTGCTTGGCCGACTTCGGTGTCACTTCCTCTGAGAAAGGTCGTCTTCCAGCCACAGCTTTTGCGTGCTGTTTGCTGGTCAGTTCAGGCCCGCGACACATACATTCAGAATCTGTCATCGTGAACAGGACATGTAGCAGCTTAACGGTGGCACGTTTGTGGAGGGCTGTGTGTATCAGTCAAAGGAGCTGCTCCGGTGTGCGGGCCCAGGAGACGCCTTCCTCCCAAGTCTGGGGGTGCTCTAGAGACCAGGAAGGAAGAGGAGGAGGGGGTTAAAAAGTGACCTCAAAGTCCATGGGTGCTATGAGCACTTAAGACTGAAAGGTTGGGGGCTGAGTCCACCCAGAAGTGCCTCAGAAGAAAGGCCTGGCAATTTCCTTATGAAGAATCAGCTGTTGAAAACTCTCTGAGCCCTTGATGCCGGAAACCCCAGAAACCTTGAGATCATCAAGAACTCTTAAACCAAAAATATCCTTCAATGTCCTCTTTTAACTCCATGTAACTAACTCACAGCTGACCCTCCAAAAGGTTTTGTTGTTGTTGTTCTGTGTCGTCGAGTCACCTGCGACTCATAGCGACCCTATGTACAACAGCCCTAAACTGCTCTGTCCTGTTCCAATCGCACCGTCTCTGACATCTTTTCCCCATGGAGCCTCTGGGGGATTCAAACCACCGGAGGCACTGCCTCTGGGTTAACACCACAACTCTCTCTAGACTTTGCCACCAGAGCTCCCAAAACCAAACCAGAGTTAGTTTTCACTCGTGAAGAGTGTTTGCCTTGAGCCCTGGGTTCTTCTAACACATCCTCTGTGTGGGGTCACACTGACAGCAGCGTGAAATCAGTAGGAACCTCTGGGGCAGGGGCCTTGCGGAGTAGGGTGAGGACGGTTACAGAGCTCGGAAAAGAGAATGTCCCCTGTCCCTGAATCGCTCCTGGGGGAGTCCTGCTGTGAACATTCTCAACAACAACAAATAACACAAGTGAAACACTGAACAGAACTGCCCAAATGAAACACAAACTAAAACACAAAGGGCATCTCCCAACACGGACAGTAATTACCACCCTTCACGGCAACAGGAATCTCACCAGCAAAGGCTGAGCGTCAGCGCAATGCTCTCTGGTAACTTATACTGTGTGAGCTTTTAAAAAGTGCTGGCTGCAAACACTGAAAAGGACTTTTCATAAAAAGAGGGAAGGAGGGAAGGAAGGAGGGAAGGAGGGAAGGAAGGAAGGAAGGAACGAACCCACGGAGCAGTTCACCTCTGACAGACATGAGCTGGCATCAGTTCAGGAGGCCCGGTCTGGCCTTGTGACCAAGGACAGCTGGGTTCCATGTGACAGAACACTCGGGAGGAGTATGCTGTCTGCATGGCTGCGAGCCAGGACTTGGTGTCCAGCAGTGCCCCCCACCCCCCACTGCCCTGGGAGCCCCCTCCTGTGCAAGAATGTGAGCGGGTGAGGACACATTTTTAGGCAAGAATGTCAGGGACATGGTGGCATGCTTTGTCTGGCCTCTTGCCTGAGTTCAGTAACATTTACATAAAGACAAGAGAGAGGCATTTAAAGAAAAGTCTTGCTGGTATTTCCCTCTGCATTCAGGCCTCCAAAGGACCCAGGTTCAAACTCCTCCTAGGAACATTCTGTGGCTGAGTGACACAACACCGGCTCCACTTTAGAGAAGGCTCCACGCCCTTCACTTCTGTTTATCTAACAAAACCAACCGCCTCCGCAAAGCAAAGCCAGGGGGGCTCTTGTGATGCAGAGTGACGGGATCAGCGTCCCATCCCAGAGGGCACCCACTCTCTTGAAAAGATGCCAGAACAGGCCATACAGCTGTGTCCTCAGGTGCTGACCCTGGGGACTGAAAATGGTTAACGCACTCATCAGCTACGTCTGTAACAGGTCCGCCCAGAGGTGCTCTGGGAGAAAGGCCTGGCAGCTGACCACCGGAACATCCTCAGGGCGTAAAAATGTCCCCGTGAGGACAAGAACTCTGTCCTCTATGGATGCGCAAGGCTGATCTCAGCGCCCTGTTTCCTTTACTTCTACTAACGGATGGAACATCGGCCCCCTCCAATATACAGGCATGTGACGTGGGAGTTCTGTAATGACTGATAAATGAAGTCCCATCTCAGAGTCTCCCTGGGGTGCAGTCTTTTGTCTGACAGAGATGAAAGGAGAGAGAAAGCAGAGGGCTGGGCCGGGGATGGGCTGGGGTGACGGACCTCAGTATCACTGAGAGAAACGCCAGGGGGGCTGGCATCCTTCAGACCTGGGTCTCTGTGCTGGGATGCCCTCGACACAGGGGCAGGCCAAGATACACACAGATCTCCAGGGCGTGCAGCCTGCAGACACGCAAGGACACAAGGGCCTTCCTCTAGAAGCATGAGCGAGAAAGCCCTTCCTGTCAGAGCCACTCTCAACGAGGGCTGCTAGCCTCCTGGTCTAAGAGAATAAATGTTTCTAAAAAAGACCCCCCACCCCCACCCCGTGGTTTCTGTGACACAATCACTGGAGAACTAAGAGACTCTCTACACTCTACTTCGAGAACCACCAGGCGACCTGCCTTTCCAGGACCTGCCCACCTGCTGGACACCAGTCTATCAAGTCCAAATGCACAGTACTCACTGGAGACTGGGCTTTTGCAAAGTTGACATGGGCATAGAGGAGAACTGCAATGTCCTTGTGTCCTGCTTCCAGGGCTATGGAGAGCGCTGTGCTGCCGTCCTGAGGGCAGAAAGAACAGGATGGGGTAAATGCCAGCAACTTCCAGAAAGCCAAGAGGTACAGGAACAAGTGTCCGTCCAGCTGTGGGCAGGGCGCCCATGTGTCCACTCGGCTACATCCTGAGGAAGCTGGGGGCCAGGGCCAGGCACAGTGCCCGGGTCCTGAATTGTCTGCATACAGTAGGTCTAGTGTGCACTTTATTTGCACTAATGCAGATGTCCCGGTATTAGTGTTCACACAGTAGGTATGTGTTTTACCAGATGCTCGTGTGAAAATGTACGAGTGAGTAAGAGACTGCACATAGTAGGAGCGGTGCCTACTGTACTTCATGCTCAGGTAAAGGTGTCACTGTATAAGCGTGCGCACAGTAGGTATGTATTTCACTGCAGGCTCAAGTAAAGTTGTCACAGAGAGTACGAGTCTGCACACAGGAGGGATAGTTTTGTTGCAAGCAGAGGCTTGCACACAGTAGGTGGACGTGTGTTTTACTGTATGCTCATGTGAAGATGAGTACAAATTTGCACACAGAAGGTATTGTGTCAAGGTTTCATTGCCAGGACACATGTGCACAAAGTAGGCAGACATGTGCTTATGCAAAGATGTCACAGTGAATACCTGTCTGCACACAGTAGGAACAGTGTAAGGGTTTCACTGCCAGCACAGGCTTGCACACAGTAGGTGGACGTGTTCCACTGTATGCTTGTGAATTGATGTCACAGTGAGTACCCGTCTGCACCGTGCCAGGCAGTGCACGGCTGGACAGTGACCAGGGCACAGGCCTCACGGGGCTCTGTCCCCCCACCCACCCCCGTGGTGGCCGGCTCACGTTGTCCTCCAGGTGGCCATTACAGCCCGGCTGGGCCAGCAGCAGCTTCACAATCTCCACGTGACCGTGCTCGCTGGCACACATGAGGGCCGTGGAGCCCTCGTCGTCCTGGATATTCACATCTGCCCCACACGCCAGCAGGCCCTTGACCATGTCGATGCGCCCGTGGCTGACCGCCAGCATGAGGGCCGTCTGTCCTGCCTGCGGGAGAGAGGACAGTGGGGTCAGAAGATGGGCAGAGGCTGCAAGAGCGGGTCTGTGCTGGTACAGAGGGACAGGAGGGAATGTGAAACACTCTCTTCTGAAAGCAGAAAGCTACGGTGTGTCCCTGACGGCATAAAGCAGCCTAAAGACTGGCGCTTCAGACCCAGCCCAAGGCAGCTCAGAAGGGCGAGTTGGTAATGTGCTTCCACCCAGGTTCTGTGCTGGGCGCAGCCGGGCAGATTCCGGCTCCTTGCGACCCTAATGCACAGAGGGAAACTGCCCGGCCGTGCTCCAGGCTGTGCCCGTTACAGAATCACCACCCGGCCTGCTGCCCACGGACTGGTGAGCTTGACCAGCCAGCCTTTCAGACAGTGGCTGACTCCTCTATGCGCTGTGCAACTGAGGCTGCTTTCCTTAAGGATTTCAGCACGAGGACCTCACGGTGCATTTCGGCATGAGGACCCCATGGTGCACTTCCGCTTGGTGACACTCGGGGCTGCCGTGAATGGATCTGACAGGATGGTCATGGGATTGGTGCCGGGGCTTTGGTTAGGGCCTAAGACAGCCCCCAAAGGCAATGTGAGGCCTGGTTCATCTTAGCTTGGAGGAGTTTAGTGCAGAGAGAAGCTGCAAAGTTTATGTTGTGGACACTGGGACAGAGACGGCCTTGGGGACATACAGGTCAACTACCACGGCTTCCTAGAAATCTCCCCCCATAAAGGGAACAATGGGTGGGGAGGAATTTCAGATTAACTGTGAGTCTCTGCGGGGGGGCTGTGTGTGTGTGTGTGTGTCTGGCCAGCTGGTTGGTCACTGGCCGGCTACGTAGCTGCTTATTTATGCGTGTACTACTGTCCACTGTACAGGCTTGTGATTTGGCTGCAGGATGAGTCCCAAGATTTTTTAGGGGATCCGTAATTTAAAACAAACAAATCAGGCCTGACTGCTGCTGGTGCTGGGAGCCACACAGGTGGGCTCCGGACGTGACCCACTGACCTGACTGGCCTTGGCATTCACATCCCCGCAGCCGAAAAGCTCTTCCACGACTTTCATGTCCTTCTCAGCCTCCACCGCGGCCAGGGCGGCCAGCATGATGGGAGTGTACCCCGCTTTGTTCTGGTGGTCCACGTCACACACATCTGCAAGAAACATGGGGAGAATTCCAGCTCTCAGGAAAGGCCAGTCTCTACAGAAGGGCTTCGAGGCTGGTAGAGCAGAAGGTCAGCAGAGAGGAAGACCCCTGGGGAGCTGGACTGGTGCAGGGGCTGCAACAACCGTCCCAGAGAACAAGACTGTGAGGCCCACGAGTGGGGGGTCCTGCTGTGCTGTGCGTAGGGTCACCCTGAAGTGGGACCAACATTACAGGACACAACGACAGGTGATGAGTTGTGCGTAGAGAGTGAAATAGAAAACGGAAGTTATGCTCATGATGAGACAAACAAAAGGAAAACGAGGGAAGGGGCAGAGGAATGAGGGACCTTAGGGAGGGGCCCTGGAGGAGGACATCCTGCTGGGTCAACTCGAGGGTCAGTGAGAAAGAGGGAGACCCTCGAGGAGATGGACAGACGTACGCAGTGCCGCCAGCCGTGGGCTCAGTGTCCCCAAATGAGAGGATGACGCAGGTCTCGGGGGTGGGACTGAGCACTGCTATACCTGGGTCACAGTGAAACCACCTGGATGACACCTGGAAACAGGACAGTCACCTCCAGGGCAGCCACGTGTGTGACTTCACGTATGGGTTAGGAAGGGACCAGGGAGATGGCATCCGAGGCAGAGGTCACAGCAGGACAGGTGAGAACACCCCCTATTGCATCAAACGAGCACCTCTGGAAGTCGCCTGATGCGATAAGAAATCTGGGTGGTCAGTCACAAAAGGACAAATATTACATGATGCCACTGTTGTAGAATGGGACTGTCCTTGGGGTTAGGGAGACACTGAGTAAGATGGGTTCAATAATGTATACTGCACTGAAGCAGGGGAGGGAGAGAACCGTCTAAAAGAGAGATGTAACTGGGTATTTCTGTCATCACAGGAGACTAGAGCGAGGGCTGCATGGTGGAGGGGACCTGGGGGAGGGTTTGTAAAACAATGAAAGAATCTTTTCTTTTACTTTTCCATAATTTTTGGACTCATGTACTTATAACTTGTTAGTCAAATTTGTGTCTTCTAGGTTGCAACACCTCCATGATACATCTTCAAGGATATGTACATGTACAGCCAAGCACAATCAATAAGAGTGCATCTGAATTCCCAAATCAATCTCCATAATAGTCTATGTGTTTCCTACTGCCAAAGGGGCCCTTTAGAGTAGTGAGAGAAGATCTTCACCCTGAAACCCACAGCGTCCCTTTTCAGCAGGAAGTAGCTAAGAGAATACGCCATCCCCTTTTCCTTATGACTCAGGGTGAAGTCTCTCTCAGGGAGGAGTGATAGGGAATGGCAAAGGATACACTGACAAAGAAGATTAATCAGAACTGGCTTTGACAAGCACTGTGGCATTTGGACAAGAACAAACTGGGAGGAGGGTAGAGAGAATAGTGCAACAATGAATGAGTGGAAGCCCAAAATCTCTGTAAATGTTTATGAAAATTAATAAAATATAATTATAGAAAAAAAAAAAAGAAATCTGGGTGGTTAGGGTCATACAACACCGCTGAGTGTCCTCAAAACCATTGAACTGTACGCTTAAAAACAGCTAACACAGGTGGCCAACGTGGCTGCTAACTGAAGGCCAAAGGTTCGAACCCACCAGCCTCTGTGAAGGTAACCCATCGACCCCCCAACAGAGGCGAGGCCAGCTCTCGGTGACCCGCAGTCTCCTGGTCTGTGCATCTGCACGGGACGAGGCCTCCAGGAGCAGCTGGTGGATTCGAACCACTGATGGTTTGGACTGCCACGTTACACATTCCACCATTAGAGGGCCTGTAGGGACGCCAGCCTTGGAGCCCCTTGAGGGCAGTTCTACAGGAGGCCTGGTTCAAAGAGTGCACAATAATGGACTTGTGTGTATCTAACCACAGCTAAAAGCAAAACCGCAGTCATGTGGGGACTCCACGCGCCCTAGGCTGCTCCTTCTGAACAGTCTCCGGACACAGGCCGTCTCTGTTCCGGGGCCGCCTCACTCTGGGTGGACAGTCCCGCTCTGGTCATGACTACAGGGGTGGCACCAGCTCTGTCGGGGCCGAGTTCCTGGGGACAGTGTGTTTGGAGGGAATGGCCATTCTAACAAACCAGTGACGGTGGCTTGGCTCTGTCCCCACCTCCGTGAGCTGGCACCTCTGCAAGGTAGCTGCAGCCCAGGGACAGACGGAGGGGCGCAGGTGCGGCTGACCCGGGACTGTGCCCTGTCCTGCCCTGTCCGCCGGGGCTGGAGCAGGGGGCCGACCTGCCCCTCTCAGCCACTCACCCACATCCAGCAGCAGCCTGACCACCTCGAAGTTGGAGTGGGACACGCTGTAGTGCAGCGCCGTGTTGCCGTTGCCGTCTGCCATGTTGATGATGTGACGCAGGACGTCTGGCGATATGGCTTCGAAGGCGGCGATGTAGTCGCCCACCATGGCCGGCACGGCCGACTTCTGGCTGGACACACGGAACCACTCATGCTGGAGGGTGTTCAGGCAGAACCGCTGCGGGACAACACAGCCGTCAGTGCCCGCTGGATGCCCACATGGACGCCGCGTAGACGTCGCGAGGCCTGGAGGTGACAGGCCGCCCTGATGATCAGAGCTCTGCTGTCAACTTGCCCCTAGGACCGTGCACAGGACCAGGGACCTAGCAGAAAATGGGGCGTCCCTCCACGACAGGGGACCCACACGAAAGCCCACTGCTGTCCAGCTGGCTCCAACTGAGACCCTACAGAGGAGAGGGACTGCCCGGCATGTCCAAGGCCAGGAATCTACGAAGCAGGCTGCCCCGTCTTCATTCTGGGCGGATCTGAACCGCTGACCATTTGGTTTGCAGCCACGTACTTTATATACGACACCACCAGGGCTCCTCTGACAGCAATCAGGACGGAAATATTGAGCTAACTCACCATCGGGCCTCTTCCTTCCATCGCCTCCGACTTCAACCCCAGTCCCACCACAGCACACGCTTGTCATCACCCCAATTCCTACCCAGACCCCAAGCAAATGTCCGGGAAATGCCGCTGACCATCCCACCCACTCGGCAGCCTGGGCGCTGTGGACAGTCAGTGGGCAGGGCAGTTTCTACAAAGGAAACCCACCACTATTGTCAATTCCAGCTCATATGGACCGCTCACTGGGCTTCAGAGGCTGGAAAGCTTCATGACAGGAGACTGTCCCTTGGATCGGCTGGTGGGCTTGAACCACTGATCTTCTGGTTTGCAGTATGATACCAAACACACCATGCCCTCAGGGCTCCCTCAGCCACACGAAGCTCGGCCAGGGTGGGCGTGCGCAGGTGGGGACGCCTGGCACACTTCCTCCTGGCCATCCCCAGTCTGAGCTTGTCACTGTACTTTGATTCCTCCAGAAAACATTTTAAAAGTGAGTGCTGGGTGCATGAGGTCAGCAGTGCTGAGTGGCTTCACCCTAGTTAGTAATCTTTACGGCTAAAGTTAAAGCAGGTTGGGCTGGAATAGACGCAGCTCTGGTGGGGTGGGGTGTTACATGCTGGGAAGTCAACCAAAGGTCAGTGGTTCAAATCCATCTGCTGCTCTGTATGGGGAAAATGGGCAGCCTTTTCTTGAAAAGTCCAGTGGACAGTGGCCCTAAGTCAGACTGACTTGAGAGCTCTGGTGGCCTAGTGGCAAGAAGCTGCACTGCAATCCCAGAGGTGAGTGGTTCGAATCCACCGGATGATCTGTTGGAGAAGGAGGGACAATCTCTATCTCCTCCTGTACCAGTCAGATCCAATTTGATGGCGCGTGCACACGCACACACACACACACACGCTCACATACAAAAGAAAAAAGGTTGAAGGCAGTGGATTTGATATTTTTGAACTTGAACTAAGAGACATGCCCAGAAGCAGGCAGCCAGGCCCACCTGTGCCCACCTCATGATAAAGCCTGTGTCCACACCAGCATCAACCTCTGTGATCAATCTGTGGGCAGTCATCATCTTCGGATCGGGTTAAACATACAGGAGGAATATGGCTTGTCGTCTTTCTAGAGCTGAAAAAATTGAGTCCCTTCTAGTTCTACATTTTTTGTTTCATAGTTCTATACTGAGCCTCATAAACTATCTTTTCCACCTCCCTTGTGGAACCTACTGTTAATACTCATTTAAGTACACGCCTCCATCTACACCACCAGCAGGAGTTCCATGGCTTGGCCTGATGGAGACAGAGTTGTCAGCGAGGGAGCTGGCTGGCCTCTGAGGGACGCCTCCTTTCCAAATCTCAATAGCCTACAGGAGCGCATGCCCGCTGGCCACCAGCACAGAGAGGCTTCTCCTTTCTCATGTTAGCACCCACAAGGCAGCCCTCGCCTCTATTTGCGTCTAACCCTTGCAGACTATTAGAAGACAGCAGTTATTTTTATGGTTAAAAATAGGGCCAGCCTTCCACATTCCACACCAGCACATGGTGTTCGCCTGTGTCAGGCACAGGAATGCAGACTTTGGCCCCGACGGCATCCAATAGAGGGCTAAACATGAGAGAGCTACAGGGAGCCTGCTCGCTGGGGCCCAAGGGTCTCAAAACAGAAGCAAGACACGGAGAAGTCAGACAGCAAACTAACTGCCTCTTTTCCTCCCAAGGAACTCTGGTGGCACAAAGCATGTGGCCTGCTAAGAGGAAGGTCAGAGGTTCAAATCTACCAGCTGCTTCACAGCAGAAAGAGGAGGCAGTTGGCTACTGTAAAGATTACAGCCCGAGCCTCTCCAGGCAGCTGTACCCTGACAGGGCTGCTGTGAACCGGAACCAGCTCGATGGCACAAGCACAAAGCAAACGCATGAGAAACGCTCCGAGTGTTTAACACGAAGGGTTCTTTGCGTTTTCACCCTTGAAGAACTCAAGGTGTCCTGGTGACGCAGGAGTTAAACACCTGGCTGCCAAGCAAAGAGTTGGCAGTTCAAACCCACCAGCTACTCCATAGGAGAAACAGGAAGCATTCAAAGCCTTTACATAGTAGCACAGTAGGTAAGGAGGTGCACTGCCAATTCAAAGGCCAGCGGTTCAAATCCACCTTCTCTGAGTGAGAAAGGTGAGCAATCTCTTCTCATGCAGTTTACTCTGAAAACCCACTGGAGGGTCAGCTATGAACTAGTCCTGACTTAATAACAAAGAGTAAAGTGAGTTGGAATCGACTGGACACCAGTTACTACGTTTTTAAACCGCAGTCTACAAAGCCCAGGTGGGGGCACAGGTAAGTGCTCTGCAGCTATTGAAAAGGTGGGCGGTTTGAACCTGCCCCACATGTCCCTGGGAGAGGAGAGGTGGCAATGTGCTCCTGTAGACAGGAGCCATGGAGACCTCGTGGGGCAGGTCGACCCGTCTCCACGGTCAACGGCATGGCTGTGGAATCCTCCTTCCCGTCTGCTAGTACATGCCTCCCCTCAACCCCCCAAAAAGTGCAGGTGGGGAACTGCGAGCCCAGGCTGGGCTGAGAGTTCAAGCACAGGATGGTGTGTGGGGGCGGCTGCAGGCTGGACCCTCGGTCACCCCAACTGCCGCCCAGAAGCCAACTCACCATATCTTTGCTGGTCAAGGCCTTGGGGTCATTTATATTATTTTTCAGTAAATTGCATGCAGACAACATCTTTTCACTCAGTTCGTACCTAAATGGGAAATAAAGAGAATGAGCACTGGTGGACGAAAAGCCTCTACGTCCCCTACAATTCTCTGAAAGGCTATCAGCAGTGACCAGCACTCGGCCCTGCCCGCTCAGGGAGGCGGCTTCCAGATTCACCAGGACGGGCCCTGTGACAAGGGTAGGGGGGTGGGGAGGCTTTCCCTCCTGAATTCTCAAAACAGTTGCTCTTAAGCGTTTGGGAGAGCTGTGAACTCCTGGGTCCCACACTAAGCCTGAGCTGGGAGACCCAGTCACATCGGTGTCCAAATGACCTCCCCAAGAATCTGCTAGAAATCAGATGGTGAGATCAGGCATGTTTTACTTACCACGTGACCATGGGGTAAACATTCATTTACAAGTTAAAGGGGTCGGATGGGAGAGAAGCCTGATTAAGGTCTCTGTTCCCCTCCCTCCTGCTTTATAAGCTTCTATCCATTTGTCAACAGACTTCAAATGGGGACAATTTTAAGGACATGCTTCAGCCAAGCCACTTCTTTTGCTCTTTTATTATAGCTATCTATTTATGAGATAAACCCCAATCAGTCCATGGGGTGATCACCCAGCAAAGCCACAAAATTCACACACGTGACTGGTCCACATCTTCACCAAAAGTGACCGTGGGAACCCAGAGAGCTGTCCCGCCCATGCATGATGGTCTTGTCATAACAGGCGAACAACCAACTATTAAACACTTATAACCACAGAAAATCTGCTGTCTTTCAATACACAGTAGGGAGTGGGGGAGATTCAAAGACTGGGCACTTGAGTGGACCCTAGTTCCGGAGGGAGGCCCTGGGTGGTACCTGATCATGAAACTAAAGTCTAGGGTTTGAATCTACCAAAGGAACCTTGGAAGAAAGGCCTGGCAATCTATTTATGAAAGGTCACACATGAGTCAGCATGGAGCCAGTGGCAGCTGGTGGTTCCACAGCGAATACCAGAGAGGGAAGAGTTAGGTTTCTAAAAATAAAGGTGGCTCGACGTAACCCTGCATTGCCACACTGCTGCTGCATTTAAGAAGTTCTGGGGGTGTGGGGCATCAAACACAGATGCACAGATACGCTCAAATCCACCAGCTGGTCCTCCGGAGAAAGGAGGTCTGTCCCCTCCTGTTACACCCTGTGACCTCAGACCCCAAGGCGGGCTGCGTGAGGCTGAGCTGCCAGAAGGCACTGGGTTTGGGTTTGTTACACTCATTGCTTCCAGGACGGATGCGAACCTCTGAGAGACAGATTCCAGCTCTGCTTTTCCCTAAAGACTCAAAACTCAGTGCTTCTGGGTCGCAATCGACTCGCAGCTGAGCCTCCGTGCAGGTTTTCAGGGGCTGTACATGGCATGGGAGGAGACTGGCCATCTTTCTCCAGTGCAGCTGGGAGATGGATTCGAACCACCATTGGGTGCTGTCTCTGGCTCTGCAGCGTAACTCCCTACAGACTCCACAGCCAGAGCTCTCTTTTCCTTAAAGAGACAGTACAAAGAGATGCCGGACAGACCCCTGCCCGCTTTCATGAGGGGCAGGGAGGGACATGTACCACACCTCTCTCGGACTTCCACCTTCTCAGGCTCACACTCTTGAACCTGCAATTCAGCTTCCACCCTGGTGGACTTGAAACCTTCGGCGGGAACGGCCCGGTGCCCGTCCGCCACTGCAAGGGTATCCTCGTCCTTGTCCTCCTCCACGCCAGGAGGGTACTCGAGAAGGTCACCTTCGTCATCTGACTCGGAGGAGGAACTTTCATCCGAGCTGGACTCGTCACTGGACGTTGTCTCATACCTAGGTGGCAATCGGGGTTTCAGAAGATGCGAAGCGAGCCTGGACAGACCCAGGACGTTTAGAAACTTCAAGGTAAAGAAAGCCAAGAGGCGACAGCAGAAATTCCACCAGTGGTCACAGAGCCCACACTCAGAGGGTCAAAGTCAGGCTTATTCAAATGCCAGGGAGCTCTGAACGGGAGTCCTGGGGCAATATAAAGGAATAGCACGTTCTCTCACTTCCTCAAAGCTGAGAAGTCCAAGGCCATTCAGAGGCAATATGGGATCATGGCCTGGTGACCTGCTCCCAGGAAGATGACAGCTGAGGTCTACTCTGCATTCCTGGGGTCACCATGCAACTCGTGGTGGTGGCTGAGGACAAGTGCAGACTGTAGGTGACAGCCTTGCTGGGCTATCAATGTCCTATCACCTGGGCACAATTATAGCCCCCTGGCGTGGGCTGAACAAAGGGGAACGCACAGGAAGCCAAGTGAGTTGCTGCTCCGTGTTCACCTGCGGGCCTTCCCGTCTTTGCGATCTTCCTGCTTCGCTTAACGATTCACCCAGGGCCCAGGTGAAGACTAAATCCTGACAGCTCCGTAGGGACATGCCCTGCGTAGCACCTCACACCTGGGCTGCCTCACCTGTGGGAACCTTTGTGACCAGGTACAGGCTCCACCACGCTGAGCTGGCAGCAAACAGTTACCCCTGCCCCACGTGGTGCTTCCCTGACCAGATCAGGTACTGATCAATCAATTCACTGCTTGGACTCAGAGAAGACAGAGCCAAGCAGGGCCCACCAACCACTACCAGGTCGGCTACGGGATGAACTGTCATCGGAGTGCGATGGACTAGCTCTGGGCTGCTAATCAAAGCCTGGCATTTCCAACCCCCGCCAGCCGCTCAGAGATGTGGAAGTCTGCTCCTGTTAACATTCAGAGACCCCCAAGCCCGATGGAGGGCCACCTTGGGTCCAGATGGACTCGACAGCTGTGGGCTTGGCTCTGGTTTGGGTTACACGATGGACACAGGGGCTGCACAGGTGTAAACAGAGCAACGGCCGTGAGGATGGTGCAGCAGCGGGCAGAGGTTTGCTCCGCTGGACACGGGGGCCAACTCAACAACTCTTGACAACAAAAGGCTGCTGGCCTGGATGGGTGCCTCTTCAAAGGTGGCAGTGTTGTGTTTGGGAATGTGGAGAGACAGAGCAGGCATCTTGGAGTGGAGAGCTCATGGCTGTGGTCTCTTTCTGCTACTTCTGAGTCTGACAATGTGAAGTACCACTGTCCAGTCCAACACTGGATAGAGGACACAGTGCCGGGCCCCCTTGACCACACTTTTCTGGTCCGAGGAAGGAACTGTAAGCACCCAACACCATCGTGTTTCCCTATAGAAAGCAGAAAGAAGAGAGGAGAGACGAAGGGAGGAGGGGAGAGGGAAGGAGAGAGAAGAGAGGAAAGGAGAGAGGAGGGAAGGGTAGAGGAGAGAGGAGGAGAACAGAGGAGAGGGGAGGGGAGAGGACAGGTGAGGGGAGAAAGAAGAGAGGAAAGGAGAGAGGAGGGGAGGGGAGAGAGAAGGAAAGAGGGGAGAGAAGGGGAGAAAGGAGAAGAAAGGAGGGGAGAGGAGAGAAGGGGAGGGGACGGGATAGAGACTCGCTCTACCTCCCTGAGGCGGGGGTCTTCCATCACCAACCAGGTGCCCTGGAGTAAGACTTCCGCCACAGGAAGCAGAGCAGAGGCCGCCCACCTGCGAGCCCAGCCCCCCGCCTTGCTTACCCCCCATTAATGCCCACGAACTGGAGGTTCTTCTTCGTGCCGCTGGGATCCTTGCTCGCATCCGCCTTCTTCATGATGGACTTGAGCGTGCTCTCATTATTCGGGTAGGCTGCGAGACAGGGAATCGGGGGATCAAAACTCACTTGACTCGTGCCTATACTCGGGGAGCCCTGGTGCGGGACGGTTAAGGTCTCTGCTGCTAACACAAAGGCTGGCAGTTCGTGCCCACTCTGTGACTCCACGGGGACCTGGTGACCTGCTCCTGTAAGATGGACAGTGGCCCAGAAAACCCCCTGGGGCAGCCTGACTCTTACAGGGTCGCTGTGAACCTGACCACGACTCTACACACAAAGTGAAACGAACAGGCCATCCTCCGACACACACGTTTTAGAATTATTCCCATTCATGGAAATGTAGCTCTTGGCATGTCTCCATGGAGAAACTTGCACAAAATTGCCTGAAAAATGGTGTGGATGAAAAAAATAAAACACCTCACAGTTCCATTAATAACTCTCTCGAAGTGGAAAAAAGCTCCATCAGTCCTCACAGACACAACAGGAGCGGAGACGGTCCTGGCGTGTGCACGAGGTCACTGCTGATAAAGGGACGCCGTGTCTCCCCTGAGTCTCAAACACCATTCAGGCACAAAGCAGCGGCCCAGGGCAGCCCGTGAGAGGCAGACGCTGCCTTTCATAACAAGCAATTCTCAGAGAAGGGGTGCGTGTTGTTAGCTGACACGGAGTCAGACTCCGTTCTATGGTGACCCCATACAAGTGCTGCCCAGTCCAGCACCAGCCCCAGGACCAGTGGGGGTCAGACTATTATGGCCCAGGGGGATTTTTCCTGGCTGCTTTTCAGAAGTAGATCGCCAGGCCTTTCTTCCTAGTCTGTCTTCAATTGGAGAAACTGCTAAAGCCCAGCACAACCATGGAGTTGGCACTGCCTCAGTGACCCTCTGTTGGGCTTCTGTATCGGTGTTTCTTTACAGAGGGGACCTGCTGGCCTCGTCCACAGGCAGCTGCACCGCTAACTCAAAGCTGCTGTTGGAGGTTTGAATCCACCGGTGACGACACAAGAACAGAATGCGTAATCTCCTGTTGTGTGATTTACGGCCTCAGGAAACCCACTGGAGGATCAGTGCTGGTTCCGACACTCAGCGGCAGTGAGGTTTGTTGAGGGAGCGTGTATCTTTATCTCGGAGCTCTGGTGGCCTAGTGGGCTTTTGTGTTGCCAACCCAAAGGCATGTTGTTCAAATCCACAAGCTCCTCCTCACGTGAATGGTGGACAAGGCCCTCCCATGACTTTTCAGCTTTGGTAACCCCACTGGAGGGTCAGCTCTGAATGGACAGCACAGAACAACAACAACAACAACAACAACACATCTTCCCTAGAGGTCAGTGCCCCTCCTTGTGTCTCGGAGCTACTGGTGGAGTCAAACTGGAGACACACAGCTTCTGTGTGAGCAGACACGTGATAGTGGTACACATGGTGCCCTGGCCAGGAATTGAACCCAGGATTCCTGCATGGAAGGTGAGAATTCTACCAGGAAGTGTCACCATCCACGTTTGTTTCTTTAGCAATCACTTACGGATACTCTGTGTCCTGTCCCCACAACTGAGCTATATTATTCCAGTTCTACTTTAAGAAGACCTGACTTGAAACTGGGGACATGGACACCCCAAAGCTGAGGAACGTTACCATAGAGACCAGAGGCGATCTGGTCATCGGTCAGGTTCACAGTGGGCAGTGTCTCCTGAGCTGGGAAGGGGGCCTGGCTGCCACTGGGGTCCCTGTCTGTAGTCCTGTCCGCCGGATCCTGCAGAACCGTCTCTGTTCTCACCGCTGTCCCGACCCACAGCGCCCCACATTTACAGGTGCAGTGCGGGCTGCTTCCTGTTGGAGGAAGACATTGTTAGAGGAAGGATTCTCCTGGTCACCATGATCCTGATGCAGGAGACACCCAAAGGACAGCTCGTCTCTATGGGAGCAGACAGCTCTGTGTCCGAGAGGTTCAAATCCACCAGCCGCTCTGTGGGAGAAGGATGGACAATCTCCTCCTGTGCAATTTACAGCCTCTGAAAACCCCCTGGAGGGTGAGCTATGAGTCTGTTCAGACTTGACAGCAATGAGCTGAACGGCTGTATAGGTAAGTATATGCATATACACACGTACAGACACACAACACACAGTGTTTTGAGTGGTGAAAGTTTACACAGGCGGTGAGGTTCTCATTTGACAATTTCTATACAGATTGCTCAGTGACATTAGTGACAACTTTGGTGGCGTGTCAACACTCTTTCACACTGCTCTGCTCTTTGGAACTTATAGTGGCTTATTTCTTAGAACTAGATTGTCAGGCCTTTGTTCTGAGGCACTTCTGGATGGATGCAAATGTTGGCCTTTGGTTAACAACTGAGCACTTATGTCTGAGTCACCCAAAGACCCTGAATCCTTTGGGACCCGGACTCCTTCAGAACCCTGACTTAAGCTAGTCAGCCAAGCCTGAAGCTCACCACCACACAGGAAACGCAGTGCACCTGCCCACCTGGACAACTCATCTTCTCTGACCTTGTCTGCTCCTCTCCTGCCCCAGTTCTAGGACTTGGCTGGCACCCTGTAAACGGACCCTGTGTAGACTGGAGCCCATCACTGTGCCCAGAGCCCCGACCCAGCTTCATCTCTACGTGCCCTCTTGCATCCTCACCAGGGCCAACCTGCCTCCACTCAAGAGTCTGGGGCACGTGGTCGCTTTGGTATAGAGTGGTTTATGGTGACACACACACACACCCTCTCCCACCTGTTGGGATGGGGAACTCCTTACGTTTCCTGTCTGAACGCACCTCCCTTCAATACATGCAAAGCTTCAGAAATACACACCACACATATATACACACACCGCATATGTATACATAAACACGCATGCACAGACACAGTGATACAAACAGAAGAGATACTCAGAGTTACAGAAACACACATCCCACAACAGACAGACACTCACATAGCGACAGCCGCACACATGGTTACACACTCACACATACACAGACATGCACACATTTCCACGAGCACACATACTCTTTATACATCACACTTATACAGGTACACAAGAACATCCAGAGATGCACCGACACACACCCACACACACCCATCCCGCGACAGACACCTGTATACATCACGCACACACCACATCGAACAGAAGACAGCCCCCCTCGGGGACCCTGATGCACCAGACAGAGCTGACAGCACCAAACCCGTGTCATTCAACTCAAGGCTGTGAAGCTTCTGCTGAGGCGAAGCCTGAGACCAAGACACATGTTAAAACCACGCTGCTTAAATCACAGGGAATTTGCTATCTGGGTCTCTGGGTGCAAATGGCCTGGCAAACTGTGGTACAAAGGCAGCCCCTAAAAGCCACGCTGGCATGCGGTCTCCCTCTTCCACACTACGGGCCACCAGGAGTCAAAGCTGATTCAGCAACTGAAAACGTGATCAGTTCTCTGAACGTGGTAAGCCCAGCCCCTGCTGCACACCTGCAGCCGTGGGCCACACTGGGTGGCACGTGCCAGGGAGGACAGCGGACAGGAAGGAAAGGGGGTAAAGTGTAGCCGACCGGAAAACCGGCTGCAGCTGAGGCAGCTCCGACTCACAGCAGAACGGCCCGAGGCTCGTGGGGCCCATCCCGCCCCCTGGGTGAATGTTTATGGAAGTGGACCCCCCACATTTTCTCCCATGAAGCAGCTTCAAACTGCTGACCTTTAAGTAAACAGTTGAGGACTTAATCACTGTGCCTCCAAAGCTCCTTGGAATGGGCTCTGGACACACAGCAAAGTTTCTAAAAGTGTCAGAAAATGAGACTTTTAAGACCTATTTGAATGGATTCTAAAAGTTGCTGCGTTTCTTTCTATCAACTGTCTGGCATGCCAACTCCTGTTTTTGCTTCCAGTGGCAAGTGTTTTCTGCAAACACAGAATGGACAATGTGGCTGTTAACTAGCCACGTCCCGTGCCAGGCACTCCCCGATGCATTCTCACCAGATTTCAGAGACACATAACTTCCTTGTTTCGGAATCACTATGGGGACTGTGCAATCACTCAGCTGTTTTCCCAAAGCCGATGGATTCTTGTTTTCCCATAAAGAACAGGGGCCTGTGCCTCAGACCAAATGCTGGTTTGCGGGGCAGACAGTGGAGCATTCACTCTGGGTTTACGTGAAGTCTGGAGCGTTATTGATGGAGAAGGGACACTTCATCTCTCTCCCTTGGCACAACTCCCAGAAGTCTGCTGGAGAGCCCACGTGTATGGTCACCAATACGGTCACGCCCACCGCCACCGAATCCATTCTGACTGTAAGTGACCCTGGTGGGCAGTGTATTCTGAGGCTGTCCTCTACGAAACCAAATTGCCACTTCCCTCTTCCTGGGAATGGCTGGTGGCTTCGAACCGCTCACCTTTTGGTCAGCAGCTGAACGTTTAACCACTAAACCACAAGGGCTCCTATGAGCACATGCTGTTGTTGTTAAGTGCCGTTGAGTCGTAGATGACTCATAGTGACCCTATGAACGAAAATCCTCAACACTCGGGTGACTTTCATCCTTTCTCCAGGTTCATAGGGTTCCTGGAGGCAAGCTACTGGGCATCTTAGAGATGAGACCCCCAATCCAAGCTCACTTCTGAAAGGTGATTCTGTCTCACCGAGACCCTGCAGGATGGAGCAGAGCAGCCCCTCAGTGCTGTTGTTAGGTGTCACAGACTCACTGGTAACTCACAGTGACTCGAAGAACCACAGATCTGAGCCTATCAGGGTTCTGCACCGCCTCAGGCCCCTCCCCATTCACTTCTACTGTGCGTGAGCTTCCTGCTACAGTGACTGCGTCAACCCATCACGCTGGGGGTCTTCCTCCTTCCTCTGACCCTCTACTGTTCCCAGTATGACGTCCTTTTCCAAGGACTGCCCCTCCTGACAGAATGCCCAAAGTCCCTGAGACCAGTGTCACCATCCTTGTCTCTAAGGAGCGCTCTGGTTACATTTCCTCTAACACACAGTTGTTCTTTTATCAGTCCATGATATCTTTGGTCCTCTCTCCCAACACCAAAGCTCAGAAGCATTGATTCACCTCCTGCCATTCTTATTTATTATCCAGTTTTCAAATGCACAGGCAGTAACTGAAAACACTGTGCCGCGGACCAGGCACACTTCAGTCCGCACGCGGACACTGTTACTCATGAGAGCACTCTGGAGAGGTTCCTGACAGCAGATTTTCTTGGAAAAATCTATCTTGAAAGAAGTGCATCCAGGGTGCTCCTTGGAGGCAATGATACTGAAACTGTCTCACACTTGAGAAATCCTGTCAGGAGGGGACAGTTTTTGGGAAGAGACTTCATGCTGGCAAAGGCAGAAGGTCAGGGAAAGAGAGGCTAACTCACAACTGGATAGACCCACACAGTGACGGCAACCATGGGCTCAAGTGTGGCAGAGACCGAGAACTGCGCGGGCTGCGGCAAGGCTGCAGCTGCGGTTCACAAGGTCGCTATAATGAGTGGCGGTTGATTTGATGGGACAGAAAGTGGTGCTACCAAAGCTGGGTGACTCGAATCCGCGGCCCTCAGGCCTGTTTTTGGTCAAACATTCTTCTACACGGCATAGCCCTGGTATGTCCATTTGCTGTACAGAGGTAACTCATGGTTGCTGTGAAGCTGAACACTGTGACACTGATGTGTCAAGTGAGAGAATGGTTACTGATGGTGGACAGTGTTTGGTGGAGCTCTCTAATTAAAACAAGCTTGGAAGCAGGAGGCATCCACTTCCAAAATAGCTTGCCTCTGGAGACCCTATAAACCTGGAGAAAGAATAAAAGTTATACAAGTGTTCAGGTCTTTCGTTCATGGGTCACTATGAGTCACCTACGACTCGACGACACTTAACAACAACAACTGGATATATATCTCTCCATTGTTTTGTGACTTGAAAGCATACATTCAAAGCGGATCGTTTCAGTCATTTTGCTCCAGAGTATTAATTACGACATCCGGTGTGTGATACTGCCTCTCCCGTCACTCACCATTGTCGCTGTGACGTGCCATCAGATCACCTACACTTCAAAATGACCCGACAAACAATAGCTCTGAATCCTGCCCTTTCTGAGCCAAGCTCCCCGTTGCCCATTAGAATAATTATTATCCACTTATTTTCTGCACCCTCCCCCTTCCTAGTAAACACACTTGAATGGTTCTATCTGTACGTAAAACTTTCTTAAGCTTTTTATAAAATCTTTCCAGAAGAAGACAGCTTCATCCTTCTCCTGCAGAGAAACCAAGGACCTCGGTTTAAGAGCCCAGCATTTTAACCCCCACACCACCAGGCTCCCCCGATTGAGGACAGAAACAAATGAGGGCAATGTGGGGTTCAGTGCTGCTGGAAGCTGAGCTCTGGTGGCCTAGAGATAAGGAGCTGCTTGTGCTGCCAACCTGAAGGCACATGGTTCGAATCCACCAGCTGCTCTGTGGGAGAAAGACGGGAATTCTCCTCCTGTGCGATTTACAGCCTCTGAAAACTCACTAGATGGTCAGATAGAGATCAGTCCTGATGGCACCTCAAACAACAAGCATCCTGGTGGTGCGGCGGTTAAGTGCTTGGCTGCTAACTGAAAGGCAGCTGGACTCTATCCAAGGGCTCAGCAGGAGAGGAGACCATAATGGTGGGAGCTCAGGACCCCCCTGCCCTGCCCCCTAGTGCTCTGCCCTGTCACCGGGGTGCTCAGGGTCAGAGGGACGGGGCAGCACCCAACAGCACGCCAGTCTGGTCTTTCCCAGGAACCCCAGAGGGCAGTCAGGGACATTGGGAAGGTGGGGCTCTCACTTAGAAGTGAAAATGCCAGAGTGGAAGGCAGGGCACATCTCCTTCCCACTCCCGTCCTCGTTTAATTACACCTCCACCCAAGCCTGACCCAGAAACGCTGGCCGCTGCTTCAGGAGGGCTGGGGGACAGAAGGCCTGGCTCTTCCCAGCCCCTCTCAAGACCTCTCAGGCCGAAAGCATGGCCCTGGGGCAGACCTTAGCCTAATGCGCTTGCTTCTCGGATACTGTGCTTTTCACAAATGCAAGGCCACGCTTCTCTGACCGACTCTATCAGCACCGTTTCGCCTCACCTTGTACCTCTGTGTCCTATTTTGATCACTCTTGAACTATTTCAAACGTGCTCCACACTCTGTTGTCCACTCCCAAGAGCACCTTCGCTCACCGCCTTTGTGTCAGTCTCCCTCACAGGGACCTGCAGTGGGCAGTACACCTGGGCTGTACACCACAAAGGAGGGGACCACGCAGCTTCGTCTGGTGGAGGCGCTGCTGCTGGGATGACCACCGGGGACGGGCGAGCAGAGCACGATGCCCGCTAGCCTCCCCGTCTAGTATAAACGTAACTTTTACAAGCACTGCTGTCCTTTACCATCGAGGTGGAACCGGCTCACAGCTCACCTTCCGGGGCGTTTTCAGAGGCAATAAACTGCCCAGGAGGTGACTGCCCATCTTTCTCCCACGGAGCAGCTGGTGGATTTGAACCACGTGCTTTTGGGCTGGCAGTGCCGCTCCTTACCACTAACCCACCAGAGCTCCCTGATAAGCACTAGGAAACCAAAATTCTCTGTAACTATCATGATTTCTGCTTTATTGGCCTGGCCTGGAACAAACCTGCGTATCTCAAGGCGGGCCTGCCTGCTCTTTGCACACTTTCCCATCTGCACTTTAATGTGGTTTCTAACCAACACTCCCAGGGCTAAACTCTCAACAAAACCCCACACCAAAATCCTTACTGCTGTCGAATCTGAACCAACACACAGCCGACCTTCCCCTGAGGTGCCGAGGCTGTGAACAGGACAGAGACGATGGCTCCGTTTTCTTCTGTGGCTCTGCTGGTGGATCTGAACCACCTCTGGGTTATCAACTCCCTGCAGACTAAGCCACCAGCTGTTGTTGTTAACTGCCATCGAGTATAACTCAGCAACCCTGAGAACAACAAACGTGGACCCTGTCCTGTCCCGTGCAACCCTCATCTCTGACGCACTTGAGCCTGTTGCTGTGTCAATCCCCCTCCTTAGAGTGGTCCTGAAAGCAGCTACTGATCATCCTCCTCTTCTGCTCATGGACGCCGGGGGTCTCACGTGTTAGTGGATTAATTAGGGGCACATTTGTAGGGGACGAGGCAGGTCAGCTGGACGCAAACAGCCCAGAGATCCTGTCACACAGCCAGGCACCATTCCCCACGTGCCCTCCTCAGGGTGTTTCCACAGATGCCAGGGCCACCGCAGGATCCGGTGGGCAGGAATGTGAAACTGGAGCCCCGTGTGGGAGTGGAGGGAAGGTGGGAGACAATGCACCTGGGAACGGAGCAGCACAAAGAGTGGACGTGCCTCTGACACCATCATTTTCAAAAGGATGTGCAAGCGGGCATGTTATTAGTCCTTCAGGCAGATTGCTGTGGGCTCTATGTCACTGTAATCCTTTCTATTTCTAAATCCTTCCCCTCTCCCAATACATTTCCTAGAATCCCTGGATTCTATAAGGCCAAAACCCACACATCAGCTGTCATGGGCATTTCTCCCCCTTTTCTACAATAAACAGTCTGTCCCTGGCACAAAGTTTCTGATAGGAATTCAGGGCTAAAAGCAGAGGCCCAGGAAGACAGAAAAACAGTCTATTTCCGTCCGTTTTAATCACTACCCTCTCATGCTATAAAGAGAAACAGGCTTGGCCATTTTTGGTAATGGCCAGCTGACATCTGGCCCGACACTGCATCTTTCCACATAAGAAGATTGAATGCACACTCGTTATCTCACACATTTGAATTTTTTTTTTTTCTGGTAGCCTTTGGTCAGAATGGAGAAGATGCAGCTTGGTTTTTTGACTATTGTTGTGCTATTTGGTTCTGACTCACAGCAATCCTGTAACAGAAGACCTGGCCTGGTCGTCACCGTGTGCGATCCCTATGTGCTCAAGCCTGCTGTTACAGGTACCACATCAGTCCGTCTCGTCGACAGCCTTCCTCTCTTCTGCTGACCCTCTGTTTTACCAAGGCAAGCTCTGGTGGTGTAGACTGTACAGAGACGGACTGCTAGCCCGAAGGCTGTGTGAATCTCCAGCAGTTCGAATCCACCAGTGGCTTGGTGAGAAAAAGATGGGCAGTCTCCTCCAGTTAAGATTTACTGCCTCAAAAGGCCAGTGGAAGGCCAAGTGCACAGAGTGGCTGTGAGCTGAGTCTATTCTATTGACCATGGACCCTTCTCTAGTGGCATCTCCTGAGAACATCTCCACAGTGTGAGAGAGAAGGATTTTCCATACTAGCCCCTGAGAAACATTCCTTTTTTGGGGGTGGGGAAGGGGTTGGGAACGTGGGCTTCTCAAACCTCACAATTTAACATGTTAACAAGAAAAAAAATCACAGCAGATCTGAACCAGTGCTTACGAAGAGCCCTTAATGAATACAGAAGTGTGTGCACGCAGACACAAGAGAGGACAGTAGTTATTAAAATATCCACCGACACATGTAGTGTGACCACGCTGGAAGAGGTACAGGTCCGTCTGGAACCCACCCAGATAGCCTGACCTCTGTGCAGGGCGTTCCCACGCACACGCACCACCACTTGAGACACAGCATAACTGACAAGGAGGAAGGTCTTTTTAAGGAGTCTAGCTAGAAAACATCATTATAGCATAAACCACTCCCCACCCTGGCTCTGACGTGTGTTGTACTGGGGTGTCTGGTGTGATGCTGGGCTTTACTAGGTCACTGGTATTTCAAACCAACAGGGTTATCCATGGTGGACAAGTCTCAAAGAGCTGCTTGAGCCAATGAGAACCATGTGGATCAAACTCAACAGAAACCACTGAGTTTGAAAACCCCTGCGTTTCCCAGATGGTCAAGCTTTGCTGTCCATCTTTCTCTTTGTGAAGTAGCTAGTGGACTGAAACTGCTTACATTTTGGTTATCTGCACGACATTTGACAATTATAGCCTTTGAAAGCCCAATGGGCAGTTCTGCTCTGTCCCATGGGCCACTGTCAGTTGGAACTGACTCGAGCCCACGATAGTGGACAGGGCAGAAGACGTGTCCCACAGGTGAAGTGGGCAGAATGTAAGTGGAAGAGAATGAAGAATCACCATATCAAGCTGGCACGAAGGTGGCAATTTCTCGGCCACCCAACACCGGCTGGCTTTTCCTCCCCACCCCAACCTTCAGCAACTGACCTTAACACCCACCCAGCCCGGTACCACTGAGCCCAGGCTGGCTGCCAGCAACCCTTCACTGTGTTCTGAGGTTGCAGATCTTTATGGGAGGAGACTGCCAGTCTCTCTCCTAAGCAGCTGGTGGATTTGATCTGCTGACTTTGCAGTTAGAAGCCCCAGACGTCACACACTACGTCACCAGAGCTCCTTAGATCCCATCGATGCTCCAACTAGAAAACTCTGAAAAACTCCTGGATTTGGAATCTTACGTTTTCACCCATGGATGGTTACAAACCCGTCGCCCCTGGAAACCCGCCATCCTGGCCCCACCCACCCTCAGGGCCCTCATGGAGCGGCCTACCTGTCGCTTTGTCCAGACCACCAGGGGTTCTCGGCTCCTCGGCACTGGCCGACCTGATGGCAGAGTTGATGGAGGAGAGGGTGCTCATGAGCTGGGAGTTGAGGGAGCCCATCTGGGAGTGGGGCGCCCCGAAAGCTTCGGCCAGCTCGCTGTAGTTCTCGGCCAGCAGTGTCTGCTGTTCGGTCAGCAGCCTCTGCACCTGCTCGATGTAGTGGTCCAGCCCCACCACCGCTCCTGGCACCGGGGGCTGCTCCCGAGTGTCTCCGATCGGCTCGTCCCCCACGCCAACGCTCCTCCTGCCACCCGCGAGCCCCCCGGTCACCTGGGGGGGCCCGCAGGCTATGCTCCGCATCCTGAGGCCAACCAGGTAGTGGTCATTGATGCTCACCTGCCCCACGCCCGCGTCTTTGGTCTTCACCGCCGAGGGCCTGTCACCGCCAGTGCTGCCGGAAAGCACTGTCCCCACCCCGACAGAACGCGTCCTCGGGGGAGAGCTGACGTCCCGCACACGGCCCTCTCCCACGGCCACCGTCCGCGTCTCCACCAGCTGGGTGGACGTCTGCTTGTCCGCGGTGCTGAGCGTGGTGTTGGTGCAGGACTCGGCGAGGGTGGCCAGCTCGGTGCTGGTGGCCTGGTCGGCCTGCTCCCAGTGCGTGCTGGTGTGCTGGCTGCTGGTCCGGGGCGCGGCCATCACGGCGGCCTCCAACCGGGCCACTGTGTCCGTGCTGACGCCACGGGAGGCGCACTCCTTCGGGGCGCAGACGGTCACGTCCACGCGGCAGTCCCCGCAGCCGATGGAGCGCACGTCCCGCAGGCCCAGGCCCGTCCTGAGGAGGCCCAGGTCGTGCACCGACTCCTCCGTGTTGCTGCCCGTCTCGCACACGCTCACATCGGCGCCCACCGCCTGGTCCCGCGTCTCCACCGTGCGGCCGGCCCCGCGCTCGTACACGTCCACGCGCTCCTTCACCACCCACCGGCTCATGGGCAGCTCGGGCCCCGCGGCGGCGCTGCGACACTCGGGCCGGCAGGAGACGCCTGCATCCTGGCTCTGTGCGGTGGTGCCCACGCAGCTGTCCACCACAGCCACGTGGCTGCCCACCTTCTGGTCCCGCGTCGGCACCACAGCCTCCACTGCCTTGCTGAAGGCCAGCGGCTGTGCCAGCGTGGCCTTGTCGGCCCTCTTCCTGGCGCCGGCCACCTGCAGCTCATGCTTGAGCCGCGTCATCTCGCGGTCGTGCGTGGTCTCCCGCAGCTGCACCTCCAGCCGGTAGATCTTCTCCTTCAGGGCCTCGATGGTCTGCTGCTGCAGCTCGATTTCCCGGTCGGCCTCCGTGGTCACGCCCAGCATGGCCTCGGTCACGCCCACGCTGGCGTCCCTGGTGTCTGTGAGCGTCCCCACGGCCACGTCCTTGCAGATGGCCGCATCCCTGCAGACAGCTGTGTCCCTGCAGACGGCTGCTTCCCTGCGGGCCCCCAGCAGGCCATGCGTGCCCTGGTCGGTGCCCTCAGCCACGGAGCGGCTGTCCCGGGAGGCCGGGGCGCAGGCCTCGTAGCTGCTGTCCTGGATCTTCTGCTCCAGGGCCTGCATGTCAGCCGTGAGCTGCCGGAACTCGCGCAGCCGCTGCGTGCTCTGCTCCACGCTCTCCAGCTCCTCGTCCTGGTCTTCGATGTACAGCTCCCTGGCACCCCGGCGCCCCCGGGCCAGCTGGGGCAGCTGCGAGGCGTGCCCGGCGCTGTAGGAGCGGGGCCGGGGGCCGCAGCCGTCGCCCTGGGGGGCGGCCTGGCGGCTCTTGAGCTGGGTGGCCAGCTGCCGCTTCTCCTCCTGCAGGACGGAAATCTTCACCTGCAGCACCGGGATGGTCCGCACCTGCTCCTCCAGCTCCTTGAGCCGCTTCAGGGCCACGGCCATCTGCTCACGGATGTGCTGCAGGTGCTGGGGGCTCACGTTGGTGACCGGGGTGGAGACCCCTGAGCTGAGCGGGCTGTGGCGGATGGAGCTGCCCACGGAGGACGTGGGGGCAGCGGCCGGGGCGAAGGCGCTGTAATCTCCGTTGCCTTGGAAGCCATTCTGGTGTGGGTGCACAGCGGGGTTGTGGCTTCCAGTGCCCATGTAGCAGGGGAGGGGGCTGGTGGAGCCCAGGCCTCCGAAGCTGGCCAGCCGGGGCCTCCGGAAGTCCCCCGGCGCCAGCTGCATGCCGACCTTCTCCTGCTCCAGTCGTCGCCGTGTCTCCATCAGGGTCTTGGTGACATGGAGGTTGAGCTTTGGAAGCTGGGGTGAGGGAGGTGGCAGCTGTCGGCTCTCTAGGACGTTAAAGAAGGTGGGAGAGGTCTCTCGAGGGGCGGGTGGCCGGGGGATGGGAGTGGATGTCACCTGGATTCTGGATGGGCACTGCCTGTGGTTGTCACTGGGGGAGAAGAGCGACTCGGTGGAGGGCCAGGCGACTTGATGGCCCGGTGGACATGGCGCGGGCAACTTGAGCTTCTTGTGAATGTTCAGTTTCTTGATAGTATTTCCCTTCTGGATGTCATCCACGTACTTGAGGAAGTCCAAGTCTAGCTGATAACCATAGGGGGTCTCCACAAAATAGGGATCTCTCTGGCCCTTGTCAACATCTCCGTTCAGAACATCATCTGCTTTTCCTGGGAGGGAGAGAGAGAGAAGACCATTATAACATGGTGAGATCTGTGTTGGTGGTCGTGCCAGTCGGCTGGCCCCCACTCATAGCAACCCCGGATCATAGAAACCCCTGCCTGATCCGGCACCGTCCTCACAATCTCTGCTCTGTTCAAACCCACTGCTGCGTCACTGTACAGCTCTATCTCTTGGAAGGTGTTCCTCCCATCTCGTCCCGTCTAACCCTGTGATTCCACAGTGCTGACAGCTGGCATATAAGCACGGTGCAGTGTGGCAGGTTCACCCTGCATTTACTACTTAAGAGCTGGGTGAGTGTGTCAATGAACCACACAAAAATTGTATGACACAAACATAACACAATGTAAAGCTTCTTCCTAAGTGAGAAACAGAGATGACAAAACCAGACCCAGTGCCACTGAGTCCATGCTAACAACTATGGATCGATCCTCTGGGACAGAGCAGAACGGCCCCAAGGGGTTTACAAGGAGTGATTCTTTTTTTTTCTTTATAATTTAGTTTATTTTTCATTTCAATGAACATCTACAGAGATTTTGGAATTCCATTCATTCATTGTTGCACCCTTCTCCCCGCACAAACCCTTCCCCCCACCCCCGTTTGCTCCTCTCCTTGAAAAGCAGAAGAAAAATTCCCTCATTGGTACACAATCCCCCCGCACCTCCCCAAACCCCACCCCCTACCTCCAAATATAATCCACTCTGCAACCCTCATTGCGTACTCCTACGATAAAAATAATGCCCTGAAATATAATACTTTTAGACTATTCTCTCCCCCATAGACTTCAATGCCGTAAACATATTTCATCCAGTTTTTCTCAGTCTTACCCCCACCCCAATGCCAGCCTCATTCTACAACAGTGGCACCATATAGCATTTGTCCCTTTGTGACTGAGTGATTCTTTTTTTTTTTTTTGGAAGCAGGCAGATAAAGGCTTGTTTTATTGAATGATCTATATAACTGCCAAGGCCACTATGTACAGAGAGGAGAGGAGCTTCATTTCTTGGTCTCTTCCTCTTTAGACTGAATCTTAAGAGAACTGGCTGCCACATTTTCCTCCGGTGGAGCAGCTGGTGGATTTGAACAGCCAGAGAGGCGCCTCTGGATTAGGAGGGCGGTTCCCTAGGTATGAGCCACCAATGCTCAGGAGCTGAGTTTAAAACAAACCAAAAAAAAAAAAGGGGAGCTCTGGTGGCCTAGTGGCAAGAAGCTGCACTGCAATCCCAGAGGAACACGGTTCGAATCCACCAGACGCTCTGCCGGAGAAGGAGGCGCAATATCCTCCTGTACCAGTCAGATCTGATTTGACGGTACACGCACACAAAATTTACAAAAAAAAAAAAAAAAAAGCAGCTGAGTTTTTACTTTAATATCTGTGCTACCAGGGCCCCAAAGGCAGAGAACTATAAATACATAGCTCATGATGCTGTGCAACTAACAGAATGAGACAATGTTTTCAAAGACCCAAACACATTCCAAGTCCTTACTTAAGGCTTAAATGTGTTTTAAAACAATGCGTTAAAAACAGAGACCAGAAAATATTTTCTAATACCTCGCTGCTTCCGTCACTGCAGTGCACAGGATATAGAACTGTTTCTATTTTACAAAGTGTAATCTGACCACAAAATGTTCTTAGAATAACAGTGCACCAGAAGGTGAGCCAGGGAGCCTGGGAGGAGCGTCACCGGCTTCCTGCTCTTTCTGACCAGCAGCCCGGCGCCACCTGGTGTCCAACAACAAGATCACACTAGTCTTCTCTGCTGAGAAAACAGTGCAGGACACTCAATTATTAACTCGGGCCACATGGGTGTCCAAACACCGGGCACAGGCTTCAATTCCAGGTGGGCTGTCCATTTCTCAATGTATCAGCGTACTGTAAAACTACCACTACCATCAAGCTCCACCAGCTTCGGGAAGGAGGAAAAGGTATCTTCTTTGGACAAAAGCTGGCTATCAAAAAACATGCCTTGTTTCGTATTTTTCCTTTTCGAAAAGGAAAGGAGACAGGCCAGCGGAGACTCTGACCACTGGTCCTGTGGCGTCTGTGCTCCTTCTGGCCCAGCCAAACAGCCATACAAAGTCAACACGTGGCCTTTTCAAAGTCCAGACCCGGCTAGACCAAGGCCTTGCAAATCCCAAAAGCAAGGCAAGTTTTGGCTGAAACTGTGTGAACGAGTCATGCATTTTTCTAGTGTCACACCAGTGAGCTTCTGGACAGGGCATAAAAGTTCTCGCAGTGTTCTGGACAGGGCATAAAAGCCATGAGAAGGAAGTGTAAGTGTCCTCCCCTCCCGGCCCTCCCACCCCCCACAAAGGGCAGGGTGAATACCTGGAATTCTAAGGCCTTGCTGCTTTGCTGTTAACTTGTGGAAGGAAAAGTACAAGAACACTGCTGAGCAGAGGAGGGAGAAAGATCGAATACAATATAAAGTAAGCCCAGATTTCAACCCCGAAAACATACAAAAATAGAACTATTTCCAAGATGCCTGAGTACCATTCGTTTCCCAAAGAAACAGGAGCGAGCGCAGGGGGGTGGCAGGCCAGGAAATGAGGGCTCCAGCTAATCACTGCCGAGCCTGTGTTCTGTCTTTTTTAAAAGTTTTTAACTTCACAAGGAGAACACGCTCCCTCGAAATATGCGGCCAGACCTGTTTCCTGGGCTGTCTGGAATTCCATCACCGGAGAAAACTGCAGGCTCCGGTGTCGGGACAGACAGCTCCCGAGATCACGGGCCTGTGAGCCGGCTTGAAGGCAGACGCCTGGACTCGGCCAGGCCTCCTGGGTGGACACAGAGGTTGCTGGACTGGTGGCCTCTGTTCCCGGGAGGGCATTCTCCCAGGAGGCGGGTCTGGTGCCCTGCGCCCCTGCACTGGCCTGCACCACTCAATCAATCACCTGGCTCCATGGCGCACTTGCCCCTGGGGACCCCACACTCGCCCCTGGGGACCCCACATTCGCCGGCCAGCGTACTCACCCGCGGGCACCCACAGGACCCCATGGCCCGGCTGCACACTCGCCCCTCGGCCCCGCACTCACCCGCGGGCACCCACAGGACCCCGGGGGCCGGCTGCCCCGCTGCGCTGTTCCCCTGCGCGCTCGCTGCTCCTGGGCCCAGCCTGGGACGCCTTCATTCCTCGCCCCATAAGGAAAGGAGGCGCCACCCGGTGTCCGCTCCCCCCAGCCACGCACACCCACCATAGGCCGAACGCGCACCAATGGCGTCCCGCTGCGGCTTGGGTTACACCGCCCGGCACACTCAGCTGTTCGGCATTCCCTGTTTGCTTAATGAAAACAGGAAACCGGGCTCTTTTGAAAATGCGTGTGCGCCAGTGCGAGGCTGCCAGGAGAGAAAATAAGGCCAGCAGTTTAAACATGGCCACACAGAGCCTCTGTTCTCCTGCGCACCCACCTCCATGAAAGAGTTTGTGTTCCGGGGTGGAAAGCCAAGCGCCCTCAGTCTCCGTCACCTCGCGAAGCTGAGAGGGACAATTGGCCTAGTGTTCCCTCAGGTTCTGCTTCCAGCACTTGACATAGCTCACAGGAGGGGCTCACCCTGTAGACCGAGCCTCGGCTGAGCGTCACCCACACTTTTCTTTTAATCTTAAAAATCAAGTCAAAAGCCAACAGAACTCTTCCACTTCCATTTAGTGTATTCTCTCTAAACCCCACAAAACCAAGCCTTTAAACAGTCAAGTCACTCCTAATCTCAGCAAACTCCAAGCCCCAGAATCCATCCTGACACCGACCACCTTCCTGCCTCCTGCAGAGCAGGTAGAGGGTGGATTCGAGCCACCAACCTTTGCTTTGGCAAGTCCACACATTACACACTGTGCCACTAGCGCTTCTCAATCTACCTAGTTCTAAATGTTCATCTGTTTTGGCCTAATTCGTCAGAGGGCTCTCTACTACTTCTCCCAGTTCACATGACAGCTTGTACGCTTTTTCCACAGGAAGGTTCATTTCTGCTTCCTTTTTTCCTTCACAAAATCAGAGTGAAGTAGTGATGGAATCTCAGGGGCTGGGACACTACCAGTCACATCACGCTTCACAGCCAGAGTTAGCAGACCTCTCTCTCCTCAGTCCATTCACAGATGCTGTAAATGGTGTGCCTTGCGGAATTATCCCCAGATGAACTTTGGACTTTTGAAAGGAGCCTGCGTCTAGGTTTGAATTTAACCACATTAAATTTTGTTCTTTCCACCCAAACACTGCCAGCAACAGAGCCATTCTGGACCTGGCTGAGGCTCCCTGAAAATGTGCTAGCCGGATCTGACTCGACAGAACACAATATGAAAAGGGGTTCCCCAACCCCGATGTTTAGGAGCTCTGGTGGCATGATTGGTCAAATGTAGGGCTTCTAACTTGAAGGTCAGCGATCCAACCCACTGACTGCTCCAGGCGGAAAGGAGGTCATCTCCGTTGAAAGATTTACCGCCTCAGAAACGCAGTGCAGGGCCGCTGAGGGTCAGCACTGACCCGGCAGGGGCTGGGTTTACTACGTGTTAGTGCTGTCAGGACACTGTCTCACTCCCTTCTGTGACAACCTGATGAATGCAGGCGTTGTACTCTCCTCTCCAGCCGACAGTGCAGCGTGGCGGGAGCTCCGGTGACTCACTGGTAAGGAGCTGTGCTCCCAACCCAAAGGCATGCGGTTTCCGTCCAACAAAAAGAAGGGCGATCTCCCCACGGGGTTTATAGTCTCGGAAAACCCGCTGCAGCATTAGCTCTGAGTCGGTTCTGACTCTGGTATAAAACAACAGCGCAATGTGACTGAACTCATCGCCCAGAGGGGTGCAGTCTGCACCCACCATCTGCTGCAGGGTAGAAAGGTGTCGTGACTAGCTCTCATTCAGCCCTGTAAACCCTCTGGGGCAGCTGCCCTCCAGGGCTGGAGGGGTCAGAACTGACCGGATGGCAGCGGGGAGAGACTGCTCCCCTTCAGGGAACAGTAAGAGGAAGAATTTATAAGAAATAAAAAATGAAGG